TTTTTTTTTTTGTGTGTGTGTGTGTGTGTGTGTGTGTGTGTGTGGGTGTGTGTGTTTGTCTTCTGCATGCCAGTAAAACACTACTGAGCTACAGGCTTAGTTAGCTGTGTCACACCCAGCTCCAAGTTTTCCCAGTGTTCTTGATGTTGCTACTTTTATCCTAACATTTGTTTTTTTAAGATTTATTTATTTATAAATTTATCATGTATACAGTGTGTGGCAGAAGAGGGCACCAGATCACATTACAGATGGTTGTGAGCCTAACATTTGTTTTAATATTAATGTAATCAGTAAATTTGGAATCTCATTGTTAATATTACCTGGCCAGCTATCATAGCTAACTTTAAAAGGGTTGGGGGATTTTTTTGGTTGTTTTTTGTTGTTGTGGTTTGGTTCGGTTGTTTGTTTCCCTTCAGAGGTCAACATCAAATTTAGAATTAAGTACACTTTTTCATCTTGGGGCAATTTTTAAATTGTTTAGATTATAATGGAAAACTTTATTGATTTGTCTGAGGAAGTCATCTTTTTCTAGTTTTTTTGGCAGCTGTATGAATTGGCCTCTTGTTACCTTTGGGTCTGCCTTGACTTACTCTGGAGAAGTAAGGTCATGATGCAGACAGTAAATCTCTGAAGTCTCCTGTGTTTCTTGATCTCCCAGGGGGAGGCTCAGCATGACTCAAAGGAGGAGGATCAGGGTGAAGGGGAGGCTTCAGAAGACCAGCCCCCTTCAGGTGACTATGATGATGGCATAAGCATACAGGAAACTCCCCTGGTGGATATCCTTTACAACTGTACCAACTCCTCACAACTGTAAGTATAGGGCTGGGGGGTAGCTGAATGGTAGAACGCTTGTATAACATACTCAAGGTACTGAATGTGGTCCCCAGCACTGTTAGGGCCTCTCAGCATAGATCTTTATCCAAGATTGTCAGGATTCATACTTTTTTTTTTTTACTTTTCTTTGTAGTTACTTGAATTTGCTATTCTGAAATGAATTATTTTTATAGGTTTCTAAAGAAGTTACAGGTAGAAAACACTAAGAATAATTTTTTGTATAGGGTGCTCGTGTTACTAAGGCTAGCCTGACCTTTTGAGTGTAGGTTAAAATTATAACATCCTCTAAATAGAAGTTTATATGCTGTTCTTTTATAACAAAAAGGCTATTTTGGAGCTGGACAGGTGGCTCAGTGGTTAAAAGTACTTGCTGCTTTTGCAGAGGACCTGAGTTCAGTTACTAGCATCTACCTGGTGGCTCACAACTGACACCTGCTCTGGCCTCCTTAGGTACCAGGAACATATCCAAAGTTAATAAATACATACAAGCAAAACACTTATGCACATAAAATTAAATAAATCTTGAAAACAATGAACAGCCTGTTTTGTTGACATTAAGAGAGCCTTCGTGGGTGAGGATGTAGCTCAGTGGTAGAACATTTGCACAGTAGATGAAAAGCCCTAGGTTCAATCTCCAGCACTGGGAAAAAGAGGAGAGAGAGTCTCTATTATAAATAAACCTTCTCAATAATTACTAGTTTAATTTACTTGGGAAATGGTGCTAAGTGATCTACTATTATACAAAATATACCTTTTTAGCTGGGTGGTGGTGGCCTTTAATCACAGCACTTGGGAGGTAGAGGCAGGTGGATCTCTGTGAGTTGGAGGCCAGCCTGGTCTACAGAGTGAGTTCCAGGACAGCCAGGACTATTATACAGAGAAACCCTGTCTCAAAAAATCAAACCAACAGGGAACTGATCACAGACTAAAGTAATGATACCACCAAAATCCACCTTGGTGAACTAATGAGTTTATTAGGGTAATTTGCAGGGATATAGGTGAGAGGTTACTTACTGGAGAATGGATATTCCAGCTGTATCACTGGAAGCCCACCCCATCATGGGTAACACCTTGTGAAAGCTGAAACCTTGGATCTCTCTGTACAACTTTAGGCAGCTCAATAGATTGGAGAGTCCCCTTAGAAGTCCTTACTGTTTATGTAAGTTTCACAGGAAAGGAACCTGTGAATCTTCTCAGTTACAGGGACTTCCTGAGACTTGCTAATTGTTTGCTTCCAGATCTTACTGAGCCTCCTAATGAGTTGAAAAGGAAGTCCTTTTAGAACTTCCTGAGTCTTTCTCTTTGTTTTGTCTTGTTTTGAGACAAGGAATCAAGCATAACTCTGGTGTCTTAGAACACAATATGAAGACCAGGCTGAAACTCAGAGAGATCCATCTATCTCTGCATCCCAAATGCTGGGATTAAAGGCCTGCACCAGCATGCTTGACAACTTCCTGAGTCTTTAAGGAGCGTCATTTAAAAATGGAATGTTTCAACTTGGAGAGAATTGAATATATCTTCTGTATCTAAAACAAACAAACAAACAAACAAAACTAAGAAAGAAATGAAGGAAGAAAGAAAGGAGAAAGGGAGGGAAGAGACAGGAAAAAGAAAAGAAAGCAATAGAATAGCAGTCATGATGTCTGCTTGACCAAGTATCTTTTTTTGTTGTTGTTTATTTTGTTTCTGAACCAGGGTCTCATGTAACCCAGGCTGGCATAGAACTCAACATGTAGCTGAGAGGGATCTTAAACCTCTGATCCTCCAGCCTCTACCTCTTAAGTGAGGTTATAAGCTTGGCCAGTTATCTCAAGGGGAGATAGAAAGAAAGCTAAATTCTTATGTTAAAGCAGAAGTTTAAAGCTCCTTTAACAAGCAACCCCATAGCATGTGGTGTCTCACATCAATAATCCCATAGCTCACGGTTCCCTGGTTGACCTAATAAGTTCCAGCCTGAATACAAAGTGAAACCCTCTGTCAAACAATTATAACAACACAGTCTCTGGAGTGGGAAGATGGAGGTAAACCCCAAAGGTAGAGCTCATTGATGGAGCTCTTGGCTAGTATACTCAAGACCTATGTTCTAGTACTGGAAAGCAAAAACAGACAGAACAGGTATTTTCCAGGCTCTTTTCTATCCCATTCCATAGTCTGTACTTACAGGGACAAGGGAAATAGAGACTTTGGGATCTATTCTTACTACACAGTATTATCCATTCCCTTGCCTTTACTCTCATTTATGTTGCTTGGTATTTGCCTCCATATAGGCAAAATAAAGAGGTAAGACAGAGATTCTTAAAATATGCATAGTTGATTAATAATGAGGTTATAAAACCTAGCACAGTACATTTAGTAGACACATTAAATACCTACTATGTGGATGTATGAATGATGTTCTACAAACTAGTACAAAGGAGCTACTGTTAATCTAGCCTGAGTGATTAGAAACTTAAGGCATAGATAATAATATAAACAAACCTCCTGCCAAGCAGTGGTGGCGCACGCCTTTTGTCCCAGCATTCAGGAGGCAGAGGCAGGCGGATCTCTGTGAGTTCGAGACCAACCTGGTCTACAAGAGCTAGTTCCAGGACAGCCTCCAAAGCCACAGAGAAACCCTGTCTGGAAAACAAACAAACAAACAAAAAACAAAAAGCAAAAAAAACAAAACAAACCTCCCATCCATCCTTCTGTTAACAAACCTAATGACACCCATTGGGGCACAAACACACACACACACAGACAGGGAAGCAGAAGGGAGACTGACTGGGAAAAGGAAGGAGATTAATGGGAGTTGAAGGAGGACAAGAGATGGTAAAGGGGGGAATGAATATGATTGAAATATATTAATGTGCATGTATGAAAATGTAATGAAATCCATTATTATGTATAATTAATATATGCTAATAAAACATTAAATAAAATAGGAATGGCTGGAGAGATGGCTCAGCAGTTAAGAACACTTGCTACTCTTGCAGAAGACCCAAGTTCGTTTCCCAGCACCCATATCCGGAGGCTCACAATCATCTGTAACACAGCTCCAGGGAATCTGACACCCTCTTCTGGCCTCCTCTGGCACTGCACTCATGTACACAGAAACACACAGAATTACAAACAAAAATAAAATCTTAAAAAATAAATAAAATAGGAAAAAAGAAAAGAAATTTGTTTTGTGCTTTAAATGTCTTGTTTGGATAGGGTTCTGTAAATAATAGCATTTAAGGATAAGTTGAGTAAAGGTCATAGTAAAATCATATGATTTGGTGGTATGTGATTTAGAACCAGGTGAAGCCAGGTATGGTAGCAAATGCCTTTAATCCCAGCACTCAGGATACAGAGGCAGGTGGATCTCTGTGAGTTCAAGGCCAGCCTAGTCTACACAGCAAGTTCTGGACCAGCCAGGGATACATAGTGAGATCATATCTCAAAATAAATAAGTAAATAAATGATTTAAAAGTGACTGGAGCAATAGACCAGCAGTTATAAATACTTGCTGCTCTTGTAGAGGACTAGGGTTCAGTCCCCAGCACCCACATGGTAACTCAAAGCCATCTGTAACTCCATTCCAGGGCATCCCAGGCCCTCTTCTGACCTCCATGGGCACATGTAGTACATACATTTATCTATATACTCAGTCAAAACATTTATACACATCAAATGAAAAATAAATGTAAAAATTGACTCTAGATATAGGTGAAATATTGCATAATGGAAATAGTTATGAGAAGGAAATAAAAATGGAACAGATAATAGGAATTGTAGTTTCACATGGTTTTACACCCATCTAGTATACAATGCAAATGAGAATATAGAATTCTTTTTTTCCTGAGATAGGGTCTCATGTAGCCCAGGCTGGCCTTGAATTTACTGTGTAGTTAAGGATGACGAACTTGTGATCTAGTTTCTGTCTCTCAAGTGCCACCCTGCCTGATTTAGAGGATGTACGTGGAAATTAAGTGTTAAGACAACCTTTTTCAAAGAAATGATGCAGTACACAATGTAGAACATGGAACATATCGTTTAACTTTGGGGAAAACAGAAAACTCTTTCTTTTCTTTCCTTCTTGCCTTTTTTTTTTTTTTTTTTTGAGGCAGGGTTTCTCTGTGTAGCCCTGGTTGTCCTGGCACTCGCTCTGTAGACCAGGTCAAACCCACAGAGATCTGCCTGCCTCTCCTCCTGAGTGCTGGGATTAAAGGTGTGCCCCACTACCTGGCTCAACAGAAAAATTTACAACTGGGAAAATTACAAGGTAAGATAAAATATTGAACTGTTATATCTCAGAACAAAAGCAAAATAAGACAATTTAGCCCAGGAAAGGAAGTATCATGAGAAGAAATGAATCTATAGTAGGTATTTTTAAAGATTATGATAGCTAAGGATATAGTAATGGTAGAGTACTTGCTTGCCCAGCCAACAAGAAACCCTAGTACCAAAAAACAATAAAAAAAACACAAAAACAAACAAAAATTTTGGGGTCAGAGACAGTGCTCAGTGTGTAAAGACACTTGCCAACCTGCTGACTCGAGTTCAACCCCCAGAACCCACATAGTGGATGAAAAGAACCAACTTCTTCAAGTTGTCCTCTGACCTCCCTATGTCTATGTGCACATGGTACACACACTATAAAGGAAATTAGGAAGAAAAACTAAAACAACTAAGATAACTATGCAAAGGAGGGCTGAAGGGATATTGACTAGCATGCAGGAGGGCTTAGGTTCAATCTTCAGAACAGGAAGAAAAAAAGAAAAAGTTGACTTAGGAGACACAATTTACATCCGGAACCAGTCTAGGGCGGGTGGGCCCACTTCAGAAAGCTATGATGGCAGAAAGCAGCTGATGGCAAGAGACTGCCAAGGGGAACCACACATTTCTAATGTGTAAAGCAGGTACTTGCAGCCTGATACAGGGAGACGCCCCCAGCTGCCAACAGGGTTCTAGGTGCACTGTTCAGTGGGGAGTATGTGTGCCTAGTGTGTGTGTTCAGGCAAGGGTCTTAGGCTGCTAAGTGCACTCCGAGAAAAGGGGTGGTATGTGTATAGCCCAAAGAAATGGACTTCCAGAGTGTTAAGCTTGCCTGCCTCTAATACAGGGAACAGTAAAAAGGAAAAATATCTAGCATTCAAATAAAACATAAGAAACATAATGAATAAACACAAATAAAACATAAGAGGATTCTTTGAAATGCAAGGGTTAAATTAATATCTACTATGTGTCCAGTGGTTATAGGTACTTAGCAAAGAACAGTAAACAAAACTTTTTTTTTTTGAGATGGAATCTCCTGTAGCCCAGATTGGCCTCCCACTCATTATGTAGCCTTGAACCTCTGACCCTCCTTCTAGAATCAATGTGCTAGGTTACAGGGGTGCAGCATCTGTAGAGTCACAGGTACCAAACAGCAGGGGTAGAGAAGGCACAGGAGAGCCAGGCAGACACCGCAATGCCAGCATTTGAGAAGCTGGAGGCTCAAGATGGAGGCTAAACAGTTTTAAGTCATCTTGGGCTAAACATAGATATTCAGAATAGCCCTTTATACATAGCTGACCCTGTCCGCAGACACCAGGGTGGGGGGGGGGGGGAAAAGGAAAAGCACAAAACAGTTTCAGATTTGTAGTATATGTTATAACAGGGACCACTTACTCAGCATGGTGGCATCAGCCTATAATTCTAGCGTTCTGGAATATGGAGGAAGGAGGATCAGGCATTCAGGGTCATCTTCAGATAGCTAATTCAGAGCTAGTTGGTGTACACATCACCCTATCTCAAAAGAAAAAAAAACAGTAACCACTTCATGGGGCAGTAGTGACACAGCTTATTGGCACAGCTTATTGGTTCAGCAGTTAAGAGCTCTTGCTGTTTTTTTTTTAAAGATTTTATTTTATTTTTTTAAAGGATTTATTTATTATGTATACAACATTCTGCTTCCATGTATATCTGCACATCAGAAGAGGGCACCAGATGTCATAACAGATGGTTGTGAGCCACCATGTGGTTGCTGGGAATTGAACTCAGGACCTCTGGAAGAGAAGCTGGTGCTCTTAACCTCTGAGCCATCTCTCCAGCCACCCCCACCCCTTGCTGTTTCTGTAGACGAACTGGGTTCAGTTCCCAGCACCCATGTTAAGCAGCTACAACCACTTGTAATTCCAGTACCAAGGGCACCCTATGCCCTTGGCCTCCACAGGCACCTGTTCATACTAAATTCATAAATCCACACAGGCACACACAGAGACACATAAAAGAAAAAAATGTTCAAAATACAAAGTTTACTATCCCTTATGAAAGTTTTAAGTACATTTCCATACCTATGATATTATATTCCCTCAAATGTTTAATTAGGAGCACTATGCCTTGGGAAAGCCTCATTACCCACCTAGTGAGACACAGTACTACTTATGAAGCGACTGTCTCTTTTCTGTCATGTATCCTGTAGGAATGACCTAAGCCAAGGTGATCCTATTCAGGATCATTTCCTATTTAAGAAGACTCTTTTGCAAGTCTGGAAGATGATTGCCAGTCACAGGTAGGTTTCCAATGTGAGATTATCTCCAGCCTTGGGCAGATGGAAGCAGAAGGACCACAAGTTGAAGGGCATCATAGTTTGAGACAGGCCTGAGCTACAGGAGACTGTCTCAAAACAAAACAAAGGATCCCCCAAACTAAGAACCAAGCCATGGTTGAGACCCATAGCTGTTTTATTAGTCTATAAGGAGATGTTGCTGTGCTATTTGAATTGCCTCTAGGGACTTACTCCTAATACATGATATTTTGTACTTCAGATATGCATGCTTCCTTCCCATATCATAGATTTTCCTCTCCACAGTAATAGATCTTCAGAGCTATGGATGTGGCTCAATTGGTAGATTGCTTGCCTAGCATGCATGAAGCTCTTAGATTTAATCCTCAGTGTTGCATATACCTGCCAAGTCTGGTGTTGCACACCTGTCAAGGCAGGAGAGTCAGAAATACATGTTCATCCTTAGCTGTATAACAAGTTTGAGGCTAGCCTGAGCTACATGACACCCTGCCAAAAAACAAGTGGTTAGAGAGATAGTTGGTAAGAACACTTGTTGCTTTTGCAGAGGTCATGGGTTCAGTTCCCAGCATCCACATCAGGCGCCCTCTTCTGGCTTCTGTGGGCACTGCAACATGTGGTGCACATACATACCAGAGTCAAAATATTCATACACATGAAATGAAAGTGAGTACTTTTAGAAAGGAAAGGGAAAAAAAAAAAAAAAAAAAACAGGCCTTGGAGACCTTGAACAAATTTTTGAGCCCTTAACCAAAAGAGATTATGATAATAGTGAAAATATTTTACAGGTTGGATTCACCCCTCCCTACATTCTTGCTGTTTAGGAAAATCAACAAGAAGTAATATGCTGTTTGTTTTGGCCCTGTAGCCTGGCTGGCGTAGAACTAGAACTCAATATGTAGTCGAGACAGGCCTCCAACTCTTGGTGCTGCTCCTGTCTCAGCTTCCTAGTGCTATGATGAGCCACCATGCCTCCTTTACTCTGTAGTTGTTAAGTATTCTTGTTATTAGACACCCTTCTCCTTTAGAGTGATTGGACAGGGTTTCTTTATCCTCTTTGGGTTTATTTCTTAACAGGTTCAGCAGTCCATTTCTGAAGCCTGTGTCAGAAAAGCAGGCCCCAGGATACAAGGATGTGGTGAAAAGGTCAGTAGGAAAGGGACAAAGAATGTGGTTGGTTGCTGTCTTATTTTTTTTGAGACAGTGTCTCATGTAGACCAGGCTAACTTTAAACTGGCTAAATGGCTGGGGATGACCTTGAACTTCTGACCCTCCTGACTTCAATTCCCAAGTTGTGGGGTTACTGGCATGAACTCCCTTGCCATTGTTTTTGTGGTGCTGACTATTAGACTTAGGGCTTAGTGCATGCTAGGCAAGTACTTTATCAGCTGTGATACATTTCTAGCCGGGTTCATTGTTTTTCTTTTTTGTTTGTTTGTTTTGTTCTGTGGGTTGCATGTAGCGCAGACTGCTCCTGCTTCCACCTATGAAGTTCTGGCTTGGTTGCTTTTATATCTGTCTTTTCATTCTTTATTTCCCATCGAATAGACTATTTATCTTATTGGCAGTACTCACAAACTCAAAATATATTCTATGGCCGATTAAGATTTGTCTTAAAAATTTGTATATGCTTTCTGCTCCTTGCCCCCAACATTATCTACATTGGTTTTTAACTTGTGGGTTCAAGTGCTCTTCTCATTTCTGCTTCTCAATTAACTGTGACCACAGGTTTTTGAGACAATCTCGGGTGCCTCAGGATGGTCTCAAGCTTAGCTGAGGATTATCTTGAACTCTCAAGCCTCTTGCCTCTATCTCCTGAGTACTGCAATTACAACTATTACTGTTATTTGTTTTGTTTTAAAATTTGTTGGTCATTTAGCTCAGTTTGGCTGCTGACTGGAAATGCTTCTGTCTCAGTGTACACAGTCTACAGTCACACAAGTGCACACAGTCCCTGTGTCTCTGTCTCAGTGTACACAGTCTACAGTCACACATCTGCACAGAGACACGGTGTCTCTGTCTCAGTGTACACAGTCTACAGTCACACATGTGCACACAGTCCCTGTGTCTCTGTCTCAGTGCACACAGTCTACAGTCACACATGTGCACTCAGTCCCTGTGTGTCTGTCTCAGTGTACACAGTCTACAGTCACACATGTGCACACAGTCCCTGTGTCTCTGTCTCAGTGCACACAGTCTACAGTCACACATGTGCACTCAGTCTCTGTGTGTCTGTCTCAGTGTACACAGTCTAAAGTCACACATGTGCACATTGTCCCTCTGTCTCTGTCTCAGTGTACACAATCTACAGTCACACAAGTGCACACAGTCCCTGTGACTCTGTCCTAGTGTACACAGACTACAGTCACACACGTGTACACAGTCCCTGTGCCTCTGTCCTAGTGTACACAGTCTACAGTCACACATGTGCACACAGTCCATGTGCTTGTGTCCCAGTGTATACAGTCTACAGTCACACATGTGCACACAGTCCATGTGTCTCTGTCTCGGTGTACACAGTCTACAGTCACACATGTGCACACAGTCCATGTGCTTGTGTCCCAGTGCACACAGTCTACAGTCATACATGTGCACTCAGTCCCTGTGTGTCTGTCTCAGTGCACACAGTCTACAGTCACACATGTGCACTCAGTCTCTGTGTGTCTGTCTCAGTGTACACAGTCTAAAGTCACACATGTGCACATTGTCCCTCTGTCTCTGTCTCAGTGTACACAATCTACAGTCACACAAGTGCACACAGTCCCTGTGACTCTGTCCTAGTGTACACAGACTACAGTCACACATGTGCACACAGTCCATGTGCTTGTGTCCCAGTGTATACAGTCTACAGTCACACATATGCACACAGTCCCTGTGACTCTGTCCTAGTGTACACAGACTACAGTCACACACGTGCACACAGTCCCTGTGTCTCTGTCTCAGTGTACACAGTGCTACAGTCACACATGTGCACACAGTCTCTATGTCTCTGTCTTAGTGTACACAGTCTACAGTCACACAGGTGCACACATTGTCTGTGCTTCTGGCTCAGTGTACACAGTGCTACAGTCACACATGTGCACACAGTGTCTGCTTCTGTCTCAGTGTATCCAGTGCTACAGTCACACACGTGCATACCGATTCCTGCTCCTTCCACATTTGACAATATTTGTTGAAGAAAATTTTAAGAGATACCCTGTGTTCATTCAGGCAGTTTTAGACATACTAAGATAAAGATGTTAAATGGAAATTAACATTTTGTAATTGGTTGAGTGCAGTATTTTGGATGTTAGCATAGTTAATCTAAAGTGTTGCCATAATGGAGGTGGCTCTGTTGTTAAGAACACTTTGTTGCAGTGGGCTGGAGAGATGGCTCAGAGGTTAAGAGTGCTGACTGCTCTTCCAGAGGTCCTGAGTTCAATTCCCAGCCACCACATGGTAGTTTCACAACCATCCGTTATGAGATCTGGTGCCCTCTTCTGGTGTGCAGATATACGTGGAAGCAGAATGTTTTATACATTATAAATAAAATAAAATAAAAGAACACTTAGTTGCTCTTGCAGAGGACTCAGATTCAGTTTTCAGTACCCACATGGTGGCTCACAACTATCTGTAACTTAGGGATTACAATTCCAGGGAATCTGCCATCTTCTGGCTTCCATGCCTATAGGCATGCGGATGTAAGCAAAACACATACACAAATAAATAAATTCAAAATTTTAAAAAAATGCTATCATAAAACAATAGAATATGAAAGATTATGAGAGGGGTAGTGAGATGGCTCAGTCCTTAAGTATTGACCTCGAAGGTGTGAGGAGTTGGGTGTGGATCCCCAGCACCTTGGAAAACCCAGTGTGGTGGCACATACCTGTAATCCCAGTGCTGGGGAAGTGGAGATAGGAGGATCCCTAGGGTTTGCGGGCCAGCCAGTCTAGCTGAAACGAGGAGCTGTAGGTTCAGTGAGAGACCCTGTCTGAAACACTAATGCAGAGAACAATTGAGGAGGACACCTGACATCAACTGGCCTCCACGTGCACAGGCAGGCACACACACACACACACACACACACACACACACACACACAACCCCAACAGCACACACTGATATAATAAAATGCCACAAACTGAATAATTTATGAACAACAGAAACTTATTTCCCATGGGCTTGGAAAATCTAAGATCAAAGTGCCTATAGACGTGGTGTTTGGGAGGGCTAGTCTCTTCCTCATTTTTTATAGCATGTTTTAAATTCACATTAATTTTCTCAAAGAGGAGGATACATGTCATGGTGTATGTGTGTAGGTCAGAGGACAACTTGTTATGTGTGTGGATGTGTTACCTGAATTTATGTTTGTGTACTACATGTGTGCCTGGTGCCTGCAGGGAGCCAGAAGAGGCTGTTGGGTCCTCTGTAAGAACAGCCAGTGGTCTTAATGGCTGTGCTAATTCCCCAGTCCCAGAGTGGGTCCAGGGATTGAACTCAGGTCCTCGGGCTTGGCAGCAAGTGTCTTTACTTGCTGAACCATCTCCCCAGCCCCAGTCTCTGCTTCTAAGGTGGCCCTTGTTGCTGTGCCCCTCCAGAAGGAGTGAGTGCTCCTGCAAACATGTATGGGGCAAGAGCAAGTAGTATCTTTTCAATCCTAATTCACGAAAACGGAGCCTTTTACTTAAATCACCTCCCCTAAAGGCCACACCTCCTAATACTGTTCTGTGTCAACATTAGTTTTGTTATTTTTATTGCCAGACTGAATATATTTTGAAATGTTCAAGTCCATTAGAATCTCTTGATAGGTTTACACGAGCATCCATCAATGTACTCTTAATTAGAAAGTAACGACCCCAGGGTCTGATTTAGACACTTTGGTAGTTGTTTAAGTGGCTGGAATCACTGTGTGAGGTTCCTCTAAGATGGCTTCTAAAGTCCTAGAGTATGATCAGATTTTTTGTCCTCAGAGAAATTATTACAAGTCCCCTTCATGGTTGCCGTCTTCATGTTTTTTGTTTATCACTGGAAATTTGGGGAGGTCTGCCAGAGTTGCCCTGTGTTACCAGGGAAGTGGGGTTCCCCTCTTGGGGTTTTTGGTCTCCTTAATAAGGGAATTTGAGAAAGGACTCAAGCAGAAGCTTTACATTTTTATTAGAATTTAAAAGAAAAATCCTAGCTGGGCAGTGGTGGTGCACACCTTTATTCCCAGCACTCAGGAAGCAGAGGATGGAGGATCTCTGTTGAGTTCGAGGCCAGCCTGGTCTACAGAGTGAGTTTCAGGACAGCCTCCAAAGCTACATAGAGAAACCCTGTCTCGGAAAACCAAAAAATAATAATAAAAAATTTTAAAAGAAAGAAAGAAAAGTCCGGGGGCAAGCAAGCTGTAAATGTTAGCACCTTCCCAGAGAGGAACAGAGAGAAGAAAGAAAAGAGCCATGTCTTTTAAGTTAAGCCAATGTGGAGGTCAGCTACATGGCAGACAAGCAGTCATGTGGTGGGGAGTCGCGCTCTAGAGAAGGAAGCCCCAGGTTCCAGGCAGGCCTGCTTTCAAAGGAGACCAAGGGGCTGGAGGGGCTCAGCAGGTGACAGTGATGTACTCTGCAGAGGACCCAGGGTCGATTCCCAGCATCACAACGGCTCCAACTGCAACTCCAGGGGATCAGAGAGGTCTTCTTTCTGGGGTCTGTACTCGCATGGGCACAAACGCCCACCCCTGGCCCCTGTGTACACATAATTTAAAAGTAAAAATAAATCCTAAAAAATAGAGAGAGCCAGGCCTGATGGTGCAAGCTTCCCCAACGTCCCCAGCTCCTGGGAGGCAGAGGCAGACTGATCTCTGTGAGTTTGAGGCCAGTCTGGTCTACATAGCAAAACCCTATCTCAAAAATAAATAAATCAAATTGAAGTAGTAAAAGTTAAGTTTTCTGAGTAATTCAGACACACAGGCAGGTTTAGGAATCTGTATGGCTGAAGCTCTGAGCAGGAGGTTGCTAGTATCAAACTAAAACAGACTAATTCCTCTATCTGTAATTGAAGGAAATAAGGTTTAGAGTGAATGTGGTGTTGGAGGTAGAAGGATGCCTCCCTCCCCACCCCCATGCCAAGATCAGCTTGGGCTGCTTAGTGATTTAGAGCCCAAGAGGAGGAGCCCCTGCGGTGGC